TAAATAATAAAACCTGTTTTAAAGTAAAATTCCCAAAGGAAGCGTTTTTTTTTGACCTTACGAGTGACCGTAACTCTTGAATAGGCCGATGTATTTTTTGCATGTTATCCAACAACGAGGGCACAGGTTAATCGCGTACATTATTCAATCAATTGTTCCGCTGCTTTATAAAGCGGAATATTCATAATTGTTACATGATTCGAAGAAGATAATAGCTCAGCTGTTCGAAGTTTCAGACGTATAGTGCATAGGAATCTAAGAAATGCCACTTCAGTTGCGTTGAGTTTTAATTACTTTCGACTTCCATTTGACGGTTCATAGGAATTTTCGGTGTGACCAATCGCCTATCTGCATGTAAGTATTGTACAGTTTGAGACAATGATTTTCGACCTATTTTTTACTGTGTTAGTTTCCCTTAGGGAGGCATGACCCGAAAATAGTAATAAGATCATTTCTTCAATGATCGATTGACATGTTCGAGTAAATACTAACAGATTTTCTATAAATGCTCACAAATTGAAACCTTCATTAGTGGTATTTTACATTTTAATTACATTTTTAACACGAAGTATGCAGAAACATACATATACGTATACACAATTTGCAGAAACTCGAATATAATTACTGGTAGAATAGCTTGAAAACGCTTGGAAAAACATTTATGGTATTTTATTTGTACGAGATTCCAGCAGGAAGAAGGAATTTTTCGTGTATCGTAGGAAATTTCATTATTTCTTAACGGAATTTTAATCGAAAACTCGCACTTCGACCAATTATGCAGAGAATTGAATAATATCAGTCAGAATAGTTTGCAGACGCTTGAAAAGCTTAAGGGAGTTTTCTTGATAATTGAATTGACGAAAATTTAGCTAAAAGGGTCTAGCCGGATAAAATGGCAAAATGTGCCCCTGAACGAAATTCAACTTGCCATGAGCCATTCGATAGAGTGTCCAAAGAAAACGTTCTATGTCAATTTTCAACCCTCTATCTCAATCCGGATGGTAGTTATGGGGGTTAAACAATTCTACTTTTGATAAATAACTTCTTCCAATAAATTCTTAATATACCAAATTATCACGAATGCAAAACAGCAAAAAGGGTGTTTATTCACTGGCATAAAAAACCCCCACAGTGAAAGAAAAGAAAATCTTCGAGCGAGCGGTCATTTGGCTTTGTCTTGCGTCCTAACGAACACGGAATATTTTAATATGTTCGTTATTTACGAGTGAGTGAGTTATAATCCAATAGCGGCAGTGGAATTGTTCCGCGAACGGTATTCCGATTGGAACTAAGAATTAAAATAAAAACGTGTATCCAAATTTTCAATTGCAAAGTGCAACGTGATAGTGGATTTGTGAAATGAAAAGTGGCAGTGAATTTGGAAAGTGCAAAAGTGACAACTTTTGTTTTGTGAAAATTTGCCAGTGGGAAAGTGACAGTGATCGTGATGATAAGGAATGAATCGTCAGATGCAAGTCACTGACTTGCTCCAAGCATCAGCTGCTGCGAGCCATGTGTGCTATCTTCTAGTGCCGAAGGTCAAGCCATTGACCCATTAACGTTCTTCTAGGAGCAGGTGCACTGACCATCGAAGAAGTAAGTCCACCTCTGATTCTTTTCACATTTTTCATAATTTTACCTACCCTGTAATTTGTAAAGTTGTTTGTTATTTCATTGAGCATGTTACATTTGTTCAGTGAACGTAAATAACAACTAATCGCTTTCTTTCTTCTGATATTTAACCAATTTGTTAGTTCGTTTTTGCATGCAACATTTCTTTAATGCTATGCTCTCGTCACGAGCGCGACATACGGGCGAGACAACGCACGAGGCGGTTGCCGCACTCCTGCCCGCCTTGTATACTCGCGCTCTGATTAGTCGGGGATTTTTGTTAATAACTCAATAACTACGCCTCGGACAACTTTTTCGCAAAGAAAAGAGTTGTTTAAAATCACCTCAGCTCCTCGTCATTTTCGGGCGTAGTAGTAGTTCTGGGACACCCTGTATACAATATGCATACATTGATTCAACATCAGCAATGCATGCACCTACCATAAAAAAAGACATCAGCGCCCAAAATGTTTTTTTTAAGAAGTTACAGTCACTTGGAATTTTTGAAAAATCAATTTTTTTCTTACATTTTCTAAAAGTATACCATTTCAAAAATGGGAATCTCAAAATTTCATCGAAATCGGAGCATATTTAACGGAGATACACGAATTCAACCGAAGGTGTCTCGAGCGTGTTTGTAGTAATTGTTGTAATCATTCAGTAATTGTTGTAATATTATTTGCTAAAAATGGGAAATAATAAAGTAATGACAGCAGACAACAACAACGAATCGCCGTCCATAAGGTTTCTATTGGAAAAGAAGGGTTACTTTATGATCCTGGAATTGATAACTCGATGTAAGTTGGAAAATAAAATTCTTATATTCTTGCATTTACAAGATTATAATATTCTCTCTCTCTCT